CACTTGAATTCCATTTGGCTGACTTAAATCATAATTAAAAATGCAACAAAACAACTAAAGGTAGATTCTAATAATTCAGCCTTGATAAGACAGCATATTAATTCCTGGTGTTTAGTCACTCACTTTTTTTCAGATCATCCTGTTGGTTTCCACTGAGCCAAGTTTGCACAGATTCCTGTGACATGAAGGGAAAGAGATTTGTTGTGAGGGTACTGTCTAGTTTCATATCTTATATGAAGTGCACTGAGGAGATCTGCTTGCTGTGGGCCTTGAGGCTATATGAGGTAAATGGATATCTTTTAATAATAATTTTCCTAGCAAGCTAGACACCAACAGCGGTTGAGGCAGCTAGGCGGCACAGTGTATAGAGCACTGGGCGTGGAGTCAGCAAGACCTGAGTTCAAATCCAGCCTTAGATACTTACTAGCTGTGTGACCTGAGCAAGTCACTTAACCTCTGCTTGTCTCAGTTTCCTCACCCATGAAATGGGCATAATAATGCCACCTACCTCCCAGGGTTGTTGTGAGTACCAAGTGAGGTCATAATTGTAAAGCACTTAGCATAGGTCCTGGCACATAGTAAGCATTATATAAATGTAAACTATTATCTTTATTATTAGTTACCAGCTTACAGTCTCGGTTTCTAAAACATTCTTGTTATTTGATTCTCTTGACGCAGAAATATATATATATATATATGTATATATATATATATATAATATTTTTTTTTTAGGGCAGTTGGGGTTAAGTGACTTGCCCAGGGTCACACAGCTAGTAAGTGTCAAGTGTTTGGTCTGAGGCCGGATTTGAACTCAGGTCCTCCTGACTTCAGGGCCGGTGCTCTATCCACTGCGCCACCTAGCTGTCCCTGCGCAGAACTATTTTTTTAAAAAACTGACACTTATCTGACTTAAAAATTTTTATTTTCATGCTTGGATTGTATTTTTACTATTATAGAGAACCTTTTTCCCCTCTTCATTTTTCCTCATCATACCTTTAAAGTTCTTCAGACAGAGTGGAATAATAACAGATAAAACTAAGAAGAGAGTTCTCATTGTTCTCACAGAAATCAGTGTCCATTTCTCTGAAAAATTCTCCAGCATAACTTAGAATGAGTTACATTTGCTTTTTTGTTGTTTCTTAATTGATGGTTTTAAAAGTTGGCATTTAATTGTGTGTGGTTCTCCTCCTTTCAGAATTTTTCACTCCAAAGGAAAAATAGTTTGAAGTAAAATTAAAAGGTCTTGATTTTTTTTAATTAAGCCTCTATACTTTAGAAATCAGATTGAACTCATGGATGACTGAAACAAAGATTCTGGATTGCCTGTTTTACGTAGTCAGTTACTACCACATTTGTCATATTTGTTTTAATCTAATCCCTTCAAAATGTTAACAAGGAATTATTTTTCTCCAAATAATACTCTCCTGCAAGTTGACTGATTTTCATGGAGAAGACAATTGGAATTCTTCTGAAAGTTTGATGAGAACGGTTGAATAGATGTAAACAAATTTCTCGTCTAGTGGTTGTTAATAACTTCAACTACTTTTACCAGAACTTCAGTACTTTTCATCTGGTGAGAATTTGGGGGTGGGGTGAGAGGGTACAGAGGGGAAATTGCATTTGTAGGTCTCACTGGACACCAAGTTCACAGTGAGATATTCTGGGCTCACTGGGCCAAAATATATCTTTCCTCTGCTTAAAATAGAGTAGGCAAATTATACAAGTAAATGCAGCATATTTATAATAAATGTAAAAACAAGTATATGTCAATGTGAGAAATCACTCATTTGGACCCCTCCTCTATTCCAATCAGTATTAATCAGTTTGCTGTGATTCCGTAGGGGTAGTGATTATAAGTTCTGTATATTAGGCCCCAGAGCTGTGAGCTACAGATTGTGAGTTCACTTGCTTAATCGTTGGAAACTAATGAGAGGCCCTCCAACTTTGTTTTTCCTTGTTATGGTGACTAAGCCTAGCGTGGCAGAGGGGACTGAATTACATGGAAAGTCCATCAACTTATTTGTACCTCTGGACCACTCTCTGTTGTCCAACATGAGGTCTACTTCATTAGAGGGGACTGTGGACCCTTTAATAAAGTGCCATTGGCTTAGAGTTCTGCCTCAGTCTCTTTTATTGTAGGTTGGACAATTTTAATCCCCACATCAGCATTCCTAAAACTTACTTAAAAGACAGTTGTAAACTCTGCCTTCATAGCATGATACCTATGCAAAAAACTGAGGCCCATGTTCTCAGGAAAGAACTATCCAAGTATGCAGCTGGTTAGATTGTCAAAATGAGCTGTTGTTAGGTTTTGCCAGTCAACTAATTTAACAGTCTCTAGATATGGTAGGCTACCCCTTTGACTTGGCCTGAAGAGGACTTCCCCAGGTATGCTCTGAGGTCAGCCCAGGAGTTTGTAGGATGTTGTAAAAGTCCCAATTGTGTTGAGTCTTTGTCTCAAAGTGGGCTTCATCCTAGCAGCCTCCATCTTTCTTTCTATCAAGATTCCTTTATGAGAAGTCTGAAAAAGATTAAGTAAAGCGCCTCATTTTAGCTGCCTACCTGATGGCAAACAGATGTGTTGAGTGGAAACATGAATCAGATAGTATACAGTAATTGGGAAGAAACATTAGGAAATATTTGGTTGGGGTGGGAGGCATTGATACCTTCCCCACTTCCTGTATGCTTTCTTTTATTTATTTCCTCAATTTTTTTTTCTGCCATCCTATCATAACTCAAATTTCATTTTTAGAAGGAAGATACTGTCTCTGAAAACAGCTAAATAGTCATTTTGAGCCATGAACAATGCCTGGCACATAGGTACTTAATAAATGCTTATTGGTGGCTTAATTTATCTATAGCGGTGGTCCACAGTCTTCACTGGTTTGCAGTCCCTTCAAGCTCTCACGTTCTGTGACTTTAAGATCGATAAAATCATTCCGTCAGTAAGCATTTAGTAAGCATGTGCTATGTTCCAGGCCCTGTGCTAAGAGATGGGGATACAAAGGAAGGCAAAAGACAGACCCTGTTGTCTAATGGGGAGACGACAAGCAAACAACTATGTGCCAATGATACATACAAGTTAAATTGGAAATAAGCAGAAAAGGAAAGGCAGCACCAAGGAGTGTCAAGAAAGGGTCCTTAGAGAAGGTGAAATTTGACCTGGGTCTAACAGAAGGCAAGGAAGCAAAACAGCAGAGATAAGGAGGGAGAGCATTCCATTCAGGGAGGCAGTCGGTGAAAACGCACGTGGCGTGTATAAGAAACACCAACTAGACCTGTGTCACTGGCTCACAGACTGTGTGGGAGTGATGAGTAAAGTATAAGAAGATTGGAAAGGTGTGGGGTGGGATACGTTATAAAGCGACTGAATGCCAGAGAATTTTATATTTGATCCTGGAGGCGATGGAGAGTCATTGGGGTTTATTGAGTGACAGAGTAACATGGTCAGACTGCTGCTTTAGGAAGATCATTTTGCCAGTTGAGTGGAGGGTGGACTTGCATCTCTCCTCTTGTGTAAAGACTCGTAGCAGTTATACCAACTAAAATTGCAGTAGTCCAGGAGTGAAGTTCTAGGGGGTTGTACCAGGAGAGTGGCAATGTTACCAGAGAGAAAGGCACATATGCAAGACATGTTATGAAGATAAAATTGGCAGGATGTGGCAACAGATTGGATAGGGGTGGGGGACTGAGTGAGGAACTGAGGATGACATCTCCCTTGCACACGCAGGTGACAAGGAGGATTGCGGTATCTTGGACAATAAATAGGTCAGTTAGTAAGAAGGAAAAGTTTCGGGAGAAAATGAGTTCAGTTTTGTACATGTTGAATTTTAGGTGTCTGGAACATTCAGTTCAGGATATTCAATAGGCAGCTGGACACATTCTCCATAGGTGCTTGGATATTAGGTCTAGCCCCATAGGCACATAGTAGGTATTCAAATTTATCGAATTGTTGTTCGTCTTTCATTCTCTACGAGGACCGATGATATCATGAGGGTGATGTTTTCACTTGCACATAAATTGGACTTCAATGAGGCAGAACTGCAGAAAGTCATCAGGCTCATATTTCTTGGATCACTTCTGTACTTGTGACAGGCTTCCCCCATGCTCCCAATCCATTTTTCCTCTTTTTCTGACAATTGTTATACTACCCGTTCCTCAAGTGTGCTATTCTTATCAGATTCATTCATCTCTCCCCTTCTGACTTTAAATAAATAGACATTTTGAAGGGAAAGAGGCATGGTGGGAACGTGTTAGGAGGATCAGACAAATAATCTTATACCTTAAATAGTGTTGAAATTATTGAAGCTATGGGAATATTATGATCCTACAAGGTAGATATGAGATACTGAACTTTCACTAATATCCAGGCGAACAGTTTAATAGCCAAATAATTGGGTTAAAATAATTATCTTAATATAGTTAGAATCCAAAGTTCACGTGATAGACATTTCTTTAGTTCACTCAAAACAACTACTTCCTTCTAAAACTCCTTAATTGGAACAATAGCGTGGAAAAATGATTTTTTCTTAGTAATCAATGTCTTGTAAACTCAGAGCTTCTCCCATCCCCCTGCATTCCAAAGTTCAGTTTCTTCTTCAGAAGGAACTTAAGATCTAATCTGAATGGATGGATTCCTGCTCATTGTGTTGCCCAGACAGGTCTGGGAAAATGTTAATTTTTCCCTATTGACTTCAAGACAGGTGATATGGAAATTGATGTCTGTTTGACCAAGATTAAGTGGCCTAAATCATATGCTCCAAGACTCTCTTTTTAATGTAGCCCACCTCCCAGTGTGTTGAATAGTCAGAGTTGATTGGCACCACTTGGGAACACCTACTCTTCGAAGGGCATATAAGCCTATACCCCCAAATCCCAAATTGAGCCAGTTCTGAACTGTAACTCCCATGCAATATATGTTGCCAGCTTGTGAGAGAAATAAGACATGGACACAGCCTAATTTCATTTGTTTTTCTTAGAACAAACTCTGTGAGAGGTTGACAATGAAATGATGCCATGTGACTCGGATTTGAACTGGGATGTGGGGGCTCTTCCCCCCCAACAGCACTGGTACTGGATGCCCACAGAACCTTCTTTCTCCTGAAGTGTCAGCCCTGAAGAGTGGGTAAGTCTTATCCCCAAAATCCCTGCTCCTTATCTATCAGACTCCCTGGTGTTAGGTTGCAGTCAGTTTTTTCTCTCCAAGCAGCTCTTTGGGTGGGGCCTCAAGTCAGGTCTCCTCTGAAAGAATATCCTCTGTAATTTGGCTATGGGTCAGTCAAAGTCAATTGGCATGTGATAAATTGTATTGTAATCTGAATTGGTTGCTTTTAGAAGGATGTGGAACTAAAAGATAACTCTGAATTTTGATCAGTCTAATTCTAATTCTAAATTGGTTTATCTTAAAAATAAAGTCCAGAAAGCTAACAAGAAAATTAGATTCGTGCACACTCTTGTCTTGTCAAGCTGTTTGTGTCTCTGTGTCTTTGTAAAATGTTTCATGTTCACGCTGAAAGATTTAAAATGCAGCCAGAACTTCTAAGGTCTGTCATTAGAGAGAACATTGGGAAAGAACTCCCATCTTAGGCTTTCAGTGGGAGATTGACTCTTTTGGGGGGGGGGTCCCAACACTGGCCAAGTTGAGATACAAGAATAAAGTTAGATAATAAGTAATGGGATTAAAAAGCAGGGTGAGGTTTTCCCAGAAGTTACTTGGGAGGTAGAATCAGTTAGCAGCAGCTTTTAGACTGTTAACAATCTAAACCAGGCAGCCTAAGATAGCTGAGAAGAGAGAAAGCTGAGAGTTTGAATCCAGAATTAATTAGATCCTAAAGCTAAAGTTTGTACTTTATGTTTAATTTAAATCTAAAAAACTGTCTTTGTACCCCTCCATTACAATACCTGATATCAAGGCAGTGTGTTTAAAACTGCAAAAATAAGGGGTCTTCTGTCTTTTAAGTGGTCGCTTTAGGATTTCAGTGATTTGTTTAAAATGCATATTAACCTTATAAAAGCTGTTTGTGAAGGGTATGGGAGAAATACAGCTCCCTTTACTTGTAAATTATTAGGTGTTAACTCTCTTCAGATTCTGTTTTCATTTTATTTTATTTTTTGGTGAGGCACTTGTGGTTAAGTGACTTGCCCAAAGTCACACAGCTAATGAGTGTTATGTGTCTGAGGCCAGATTTGAACTCAGGTCCTCTTGACTCCAGAGCCAGTGCTCTGTTCACTGCGCCACCTAGTTGCCCCATCCCTCTAGACTCTAAAAGGTAAAGACAAGTAGAACAAAATTGAGGGGAATATAATTTTCATTTTGAAATGTAAAGGGAAGTGGAGGTAATCTGAGTAATGGGTTTGGAAGATTAGGAAAGAGAAATAAATGTTTGAGCAAAAATATGAAACGTAGAGAAACAGCTTCAAATAGTTAGGGTGTGTTGAGAGGATGTAAGGAAGTTTGATTTTGTTTTAAGTAGAAAGATTAAAAATCAAAATTTTGTAGCTTGATTTGAAAACCAATAAATAAAGTTATAGAGAGTTAGAAGGAATTACGTCCACCTACCTTGTGGGATAAGTCTGTAGGAGGGCCTTGTTGAATCTAACCTCATGTAAAAATTGGCTATGGTAAAGACATTGGCTATTGTGATTTGAGATTATTATATAAAAGTAAAACTTTAGATGTGTTTTGTAGTCCACATGTCTTTTTAAGGGAATGTATGGATTTATGGGTAATGTTTCCTTTTAAAAAATTAAAATGTTTATCATTAGCGATTATAAATCCAAATTTGATTTGGTTTAAGTCAAAATCTGTCCTGAAGGAATAAGAACAGCATCTGAGAGTGCTCTTCCTATCAGGATTAAGCACAAAAAGATATTGTTATTTGGCATTAAGAAGTGTGTTCTATTTGCCTTGGTTTACTGTTCTGTAAGGGGATTAAAATGGAACTCACCTCCCAGGCATGTTGTAAGGATCACATGATCATAAAGTGCTTGGCACACTGCTTGGCATAGGACAAATGCTATCTGAATGTTAACTGTTTAAATGTAATTGTTTTAATTGGGGTCACCTAATTGGTAGTTAATTGATTTTGCTTCAAGTTTAAATACGTGATAATTGTTTATAGTATATTTCTAAATTTTGTTATTGTGTAATTTGGTAACAATTACATCGCCTATGTTGTTAGAAAAGCAATTTCTCTTGTAATCTACATGTCGTTAGATTAGAAATTGTACTTTCAGAGAAAAGAAAAAATGAATGGGTGAGGAAGCTCTTAGGTCATTTTATCTGACCATGTGTTGTAATATTCTGAAGTACTGTGATTTAAGAAATCATAAACTTCCAAGTTTTGTCTATATTTTAAAAGGGAAGTTTCAGCTAAAATTATTTGGCTCTCGCTCATGAAAATTAAGACTGTTAACTAAGCTATTTGGAGAATTTAGTCTGTTATAGTAACATCAGGATAAATTGTAAGCTGTTTTTAAGAAAGGGAAATACTTTTGTGAAGAAATGTTTTGCAAAATCTTTGTGTGATTTTTAGAAGGCCTACTAAATTTCCATTTGCAAGTTAATGTGTTGCAATAATAATTTGATATTGATGACAATTATGTCCAAACCTACTGTGAGTCTCGAGTTTCATTCCTAGGTTTGTTGTGTCCTTGGACTGGCCTTAAATGGGTACTTTCTGAGAAACAGAGTCCGAGTCAGCAGCTCAATGGGAGGTAATGAGCTGTAAGTGGGAAAGGTCTTGCTGTTTAGATCTGAATTCATTCCATGGCCTAAACAAGAGTTAAAATTAGTGTTTGGATTTATCATATATATGTGTGAGATTCACTTCCTGAAGTTTCTTGTTTTTTCAGATTGAGTGTGGTTAGAGAAGGATAAATAAGCTTGAGACGCAGATGCAAATCTATTAGAGTAGTAACATGATCTTAATGGGAAATTTGATTTTACTCATGTTATTTAATCAGGAATTAGTACATGTGTAGGAATATATACAAACTACTTAAGAGTAGATTACAGTCACATATCTGAAACTCTGATTATTGGAACTTGCTATTGAAGACCTTATGGAACCGTTAACTGACGTTATTCTGAGTCTGACTCTAGGTATGGTTATCAAGGAATGCTATTGAGCCACTTATCCTTGATGCCAGCAACCCAGTGGGGTCCATGAACTGCATCTGTGAACTCCTGACTCAGTTTCCCCATTGTGACACCTGACAGACTTTAAGCCTGGCTCAATGCAGTTGGCCATCTGTATCACGTTTGCCTGGAATTAACAAGAAGTTAGGGAACATTGTTCCCTACTGTAGTTACATCCCTATTCTTTTATGGCAATATTCTATAATCAAAAAGTTTTATAAACAATATTGAATTTATTTAAGAATAGATTGATACTGGAACATCTGAGTTACTGTAGTAAGATGCAAGTGTAAGACTGAGCTCTTTGGCCCAGAATTTTTGCCCAAACAACTTAGTTAAATATTTAGTCTTGACATCTGTTACTAGTATATATTCTGTATAAGTTAGAGTCCTTTAATTGCTCATAATGGTATGGGGATAATTAGGGCAAGGACTTGTGAAACCAGGGTATTATTCTGTTACTTAGTTAATATATCTATCTCAGTTCTGTTACAATTAGTTAATTTTAGAAGAAGAATAGCTCGAGGTCTGTCTTGTTAAATGCCTTAAAGAAGCATCCACTTTAATTAAGGATTATTTATTTGAACATGACCTGAAGTTGGAATTGTTTTATTATAAATAACTTATTTGAAATGTACTGTTTTAAAATTGATTACTCAATGTATTTATGTATGTATTGGAGTCTGTTATTAAGGAATCTCATCCTTCTGATGGGGGAATGAATAATGAATTAATGTAAAGTATAAAAACTGGAAGTGATGCAAAGTAGAAAAACTAGGTTCTAATTTTTCTGTTTCTTTTTTTTCTCATTTGAGTTTCTTAGATATATCAGCATGACAAGGTTCCCAATTTTTTATTTTATAATAATAGAGACATAATGGTTGAGTTAACTTTCATTATTTGACCTGGTTATTGGCAAGGTAATTTAAAATTGTGTTAAGATCAATTTTGTAGGAAAGTGGACCCAAGAAAGAGGATCTTTACAAGGAGTCTTAAAGAAGACAGTCTGCTGGAGACCGCTTAAACAGTACTCCAACCAGAACACTTCATCAGGTAATGTCCTGAAAACCAGACAGCTGTATTAGACTACTGAGTCTTAAGTGGACAATTCATTTATTGTTTACTTTTTCCTTTTGCTTTTTACTTACTAAGGGGACTGCCCTCTTTGATTTGTCAATTCATCGATTAATTTCTTCCTCCCCTCTCCAGTATTGTTACCTGTTATAAGGCCCCCAAACCCCTTGATGAAGTGACCATACCAGTTAATGATTCATTGAAAAGGCTGTGCCTCTCATTAGAATCAGATGGGGGAATGTGAAAAATGATTTTTTCTTAGTAATCATTATCTTGGAGACTTAGAGTTTCTCCCATCCCCCTCCGTTCCAAAGTTCAGTTTCTTCTTCAGAAGGAACTTAAGATCTAATCTAAATGGATGGATTCCTGACTATTGTGTTGCCCAGACAGATCTGGGAAAATGTTAATTCCTCCCTATTGTCAAGACAGGTGATATGAAAATTGATGTCTTTTTGACCAAGGTTAAGTGGCCTAAGTCACATGCCCCAAGACCCTCATTTTAATATAGCCCACCTCCCAGTGTGTTGACCAGTCAGAGTTGATTAGCATGCTTTGGGAACACCTCTTCAAAGGGTATATAACCCTGTACCCCCAAGTCTCAAACTGAGCCAGTTCTGGACTGGCCCCTTAGGAGGGCATACTTCTGGACTGTAACTCCCATGCAAATGCGTATTGCCAGCTTGTGAGAGAAATAAAATGTGTACACACAGCCTAATTTCATTTATTTTTCTTAGAACAAACTCTGTGAGAGGTTGATAGTAGCCATCAGTAGTATCTAACTTAAGAGTAATTGTGTGATTTCGTTTGGTCTCGTCCATTTTAGTCATTTTTTAAGGATCAGAGTTTGAAAAATTTAAACATACATGTTGTTTTCCAAATGGTCTATGGCTCACACAGAAGGTGAAATAGCTATAACATAGTCAACTGTTTTTAAAATAAAACCAGTGGTGCTCAGATGTGTAGGAGAAATAAATGATTGCAATGAGGCCAGCTCCCCATTATATCTGTTATAACATGCATGTAACCCAATCAATGTACATTATTCAGACCTCAGTGATATCACATGCATTAGCTGTCAGTCCAGTGTTCCTGAAAAAGAAAGCGCTCAATATAAAAAGACAAGGTTTATTATGAAAATATGCAGAGACATTTGCTAGCATTGTTTTGCCTGGAACAGCTGTGACATTATCAAACCTTCGTCATAGTAATAGCTTCAATTTGTCCAGTCTGGAGGGGACTTTTATTCCTGACCCACCTCTAAAAGGACTGTGTGCACACACTAGATTGTCTCTTCTCTGAACATCTCCTATACTACTTACCATCTGAAGTGCTGTTGGATATTCGGTAAGAAGGGCTTTGATTGTTTCCCAGTATGTTCTATCTCCCTAATTAGATTGGAAATTGTCTGAAAGCTGGGCCATCTCTAAGACTCCTTTGTATTCCTCCAAGTGCCTGGCAGCATACCTTGCTTGAAGGAGAGACTCAACACACCTTTGTTGCTTGATTGGGTAATAGAATGGAGCATTTCCTTCTTGTTTATGAAGTGAAGGATAATGAGTTCAAGTCCAAATGTGGATTGTAATGTAATGCAGGCTGTGGGGTAGGGGGACAGCTGGGAAGAATCTTCCAGTTTGATACAGTGAAATGTTCACAAAAACCAGGAGATATCTTTAAAAAAAAATTGTCATCTCATCAAACAGCAGTACCAAAAGAATCTTCCTAATATATAGGTCTCGGGTCCCTCCCATGCTCTAGGATAAAATAAGTATTCCTCAGTTTGGTATTTTAAGCCCTTTACAACCTTGTTCCTCTCACTTCTTGTGTTCTGTGTTAGAACCAAATGGAGGAGGGGCAGCTAGGTGGTGCAGTGGATAGAGCACCGGCCCTGGATTCAGGAGGACCTGAGTTCAAATTTGGCCTCAGACACATAACACTTACTAGCTGTGTGACCCTGGGCAAGTCACTTAACCCCATTGCCTAAAATAACAACAACAACAAAAGAACCAAATGGGCCTTTTTGCTGTTCCCTATACGTGACATTCCATGTAAGATGATGGTATGTTTCTGTTCTTTTTTTTTTTAATTTTAAATTTATTTATTTTTAGTTTTCAACATTTACTTCCACAAGATTTTGAGTTCCAAATTTTCACCCCATCTTGCCCCTCCCCCCACCCCAAGATGGTATGCGTTCTGAATATCTCTCCCCCTAGTCTGCCCTCCCTTCTATGTCTCCCCCCTTCTCTTATCCCCTTCCCCTTCTACTTTCCGGTAGGGAATGATAGATTTCTGTACCCCATTTCTTGTATTTCTTATTTCCCAGTTGCATGTGAAAACATTTTTTTAAACATGTGTTTTTAAAACTTTGGGTTCGTGGGTTGAGAAGTCTGGAAACTGCCACAGTTGCCTGTGATTCAGTCCTCTGAGGCCCTGTCCCAGGTTTGCTGTGGCGTGCACACCCACACCAAACTGCGCTCCTCTTCCAGCCCAGTGCGATATACATTTCTAATCAACCATCCAGGTTTTCTTGGGCTGGAAATTTGTTTCACTCTGTCTTTTTGTGGGTTCTGCTGCTTTAGAATTTATTTAGAGCCATTTTTTATAGGTATTTGGAGGGGTTTGGGGGAGAGCTCAAGCAAGTCACTGCTTTCACTCTGCCATCTTGGCTCCGCCCCACCCCACCATGGTACATTTCCACTGTGTGTCTCCTGTGCCTTAACTCTGACTGTTCGAAACTGTTGCCACCTATGGAAAGTCTTGCCTGATTCCAGTTGTTAGTATTCTGCTTCTCCTCAGACTGTCATATTTACATGCTAAAATTCTCTTGTCAGCCACTTAATACCTGTGTGATCTTGGACAACTCATTCAGTTTTCTGGGTTCTCACTTTTCTCATCTGTAAAATGAGGACATTGGACTAAATAATCTCCAGTAGCCCTTTCAGCTCTAAGACTCTGACCCTATGTGGCAAATGTGAAGGATTTATGAAAAGACAAGGGCAAGAATTTGACAGGAGGAGGAGGAGGTGTGGATGGGTTGCAATAAGCACTGGTAGAGGTAGTAGCCACATTGTTTATCATAAAGAATCTATCAAAGTGAGGAAGTAAAACATGATGCTGTATTATCCCCAGGTCTTTGGGCTCCTATGGAAATAGTAATGCTGGGTCATCAAGTACCTGTAGGTTATGTTGCTAGGGGCTTAAGAGAGGAAAATGGCAGCCTCTTTCCCACCATGCAGTGCTGAGCATTGTGTGCTCTTTGGAATAAGTGGGTTAGGGACTAGATCTGTGATTTCACTGAGATGGCAAACTCCCTAAAGATGAAATTCCAGTGCAAGTCAGAAACACCTCTACAACTTCAAGTCTTAAGGACTCTGCTTAGAGCAGAGGTGTCAAACTGATAGCCCTCAACACTTGGAGAATCAGATTAAAATGTGATTGGGAAAAATTTAATAAAATAAAAATATAATAGAACATAGATAATTTTCTAAGTCAGTATGTGGCCTGTAGGGATCCTTTTGTATGGTTTAGTGGCCCTTCTTTTATTTGATTTCAATACTATGAGGGATACATAAGCATTTTTTAAATGTTGGAAGAAAGAATGGGTAGATGAATGGCTGTCAATTGTAGCCTTGCCACTAGGCTCCCCAAATCCAATAGTCCATAATTATTCCTCTGAATGACTAGTATAAGAGCAGACCTTTTCACTTTACCCAGAGTAAGAAGGCTGATGGTATGCTTAATGACAGTGAGCAGACGTGGTCATAAAGGCATATGGCATCAGTACCACAGGTCATGTTGACCATTTAGTACCTTTCATTCTTGCTCACAGCCTGATATCTTTCATATATAGTCTAATTTTTTTTTCTAGTGCTGGACCAATAACATCAGTATGTCAAAGGCCTCCAATTTTGTCAGGCCCGTAATCGCATAGTAATTTGCATGGGTGCACCAAGATACTATTATTCACTTGTGATATTTCCCATCCTACAGGAAAAGACTGTAGTTTGAAATGTCACATACAGTGCTGTCAGACATAGTTGTCAGTTGGTTTTGCTTAATTGTTTTTCTTTGTTACAGAGGAAGGTTTACTGAGGGGGGATGGGGAATGGGGAATTGGAGGGAGAGGGTATATCCAAAAATGGGCAGGATATAAAACCTGCGGCAGCCATAAAACTTTGGGGAAATAGTCACGCAAATACATAGTGAGGAGGAGCAATGCGGGGTCACGCTTCCGACTGCTTTTCCTTTCTCTCTCATTTAATTATATTTTCGTGTGTTTCCTTTGTCCTGTCCTTTTTTTCCTGTCTCTAATCTCCCAGGCTACACAAGAACAACCAGCGAGGATAAAAGGGCTGTACTGTTTGCTGACACAATCAATATGCTGCTAGTTTCTTCACTTTTTTACTTTATATTGCACTTTGGAAAGACAAAAAGAATGTTCTTCTATATTCTACTGCTGCATAACCAAGGTAGGTACTTGAGATTAGGAAACTGCTTCTCTCACTTGCTGCTCTTTGGACTGGACGTTCCCACTACTTTGACCCAGGTGCGGCTTGCTCCATAATGTGTACTTTGTGTCATACAGCTGTCAACATCAGTAGACAGATGTATCACCTTGACACATCCACTTTTTCAAAGCACCTAAATCAAATGCTTCTGTAAGTGTGTGCTGTAACCTATATGTCAGCTGCTTAGAAAAGATGGAGAGTGAGTGATGAAGATGGCAATGACATTTCCTCTATAAGAAAAAGTAAACATAGCTATATAACATTGAACTCTGATGGTTTAGAGAGACTCAAGTTCATTTCAGCTCTGCTCTCAGAATTCTTTACCAACATGATTTTTACCTACTGTATACCGGCTTGCTTGTAAACTAATTTTTTGGTTCCCCGTCTGTATCTCCTTAACTGCTCATCATTCATTATTACTGAATGTGAAAAAAAATGCTAATTTTCCACCAGTGAATTAAACCATTTAGGGTTCAGATTACACAATTCAATCTAGTAGAAACAAGTAATAAATAGCAGCACAGCACGCGCACATTTTATTTATTTTTTTTCATCGTTGAGAGGATTTCTCAGGGATTTCTCTAAGCCACAGATGGCATACAAATTAGGCATACATTAAAAATATTTAGTAGAAAAAAGTTTATCTCATAGTTAAGCCATTTTCATATGTGTAAGATACTAGAATGAATGATGAGGTGTTCTCTGTAGTCTGAGAAACAACCTCTTCACCAAAACCAATTAGTTTGAGCAGTTTTATAAAATATGTGATCAAATTCATCAATTAAATCAAAACAACCACTGTCTGAAGACTTCAACTGAACCCTACACTTTTTCCTGATTGGTATCCACCCCTGTCTTCAGTCTAGTGAAGTCTGTCTTCTCTGTCCACTAAATTTTGCACAGATGGCAAAAGTAATAATGGTATCAGCATGGCATAAATAATATAATTTAGAGTTGCCTACATCTAACTCACATTAAACTTATCTGGACTGGAAGGTATTCCATGAGCTATTTTAAGGATTTGCCCCACTTTGAAGTGCTTAGAGAAATTTACATGTCATTTAATATGTGAGATAATCGGTGTTAGTGGAAGAGGCAGTGTCCTGCTCAAAGACCTAGAAATGAAGGAATTGGAATAGCCAACTTGAGAGCTGACCCTGTAGGAAAGTTGGATTTGGCAGTGTTCTCATTGTTCAGAAAGGAAGGAAAGAGTTGGATTTGCTTTTCACTTTCTTCATGTTCATGGGCTTCATGACATTGTCAGCCATGGGATCTGCTGCAGGCTGGGAAGGGCTTCAGATCTGTTCTACAAAGTTTTAACAAGTGTGCACTAGAGGGATAGTTTAGATTTGACATAACCTCTGCCTTCATGGGACTCAGGTTCTAGGATGGATATTCCAATAAGATATGAAAGTGGAGAAGGCCAGCATTTGTTCAGGGGTCAAGGAGTAATCTAGTTTACCTTAAACATAAGATACATGGAGGTAACTAGTAAGGTTGTAAAGGTAAGATGAGGAAATTAGAATTGGAAAGGACCTAGGAAGTCATATAGTACAGTCATCTCACTTAAAAGATGAGAAAATTAATTCTCAGAGAGGTTGTGACTTGTGGCCCTAGGCCACACAGGTCAGTAAGTATCAGAACTGCAATTCAAACTGGAGTCTTCTGACTTCAAATTCAGCACATTTAACCACTGTACTGTGTTTGGTTGAGGCTAGGTAGTAGATGCTTTTGACCCTGACAAAGAAGTTTGAGCTTTATTCTATAGATCATAGGGAACACTTGGAATGTTTTCAGCAGCAGAGTAACATAACTGATCTCTGCAAAGGGAGGTAAGTCTGATAGATGTACGTCTGGAAAATGGGACTAGGGAGCAGAGAAGGTGAAAGTGACGAGACATTAGGCTGTGTTGTAATAGCTTCAGTTGTTCTCTTCTTTAGGAGCCATAGCGGGGAATCCAAGAATAAGGGGAGAAGGATGATTTATTCCTTTTTGTACCTGTGATGGTGCCTCTGTCAAAACTTTTGGTGTATGAAAATGAGAGTTGTGGGAGTATTGGGCTTTTCAAAGGAGCAGGTATTCATTATAAGATATTCTGCTTACATTTTAAGATTTTCCTAACTATTGGTTTAGGAAGAACACCCATATTGACCTACACTACTAAACTTACCTACGAGGCAATATATTCTTTGGCCATGGCTACCTCTGAAACCAACAAAATGCAGAAGGAAGAGTGGTGGAAAAGGGAACAGAAGGTGCTAAGAAATGAATCATTTTTGGACCATCTGTCAGCATTATCCTAACAGTTTAGAATCTAAATGTGAGATCCTTGACTAATGACCAAGTGGACACATAACTAGAAAATCTGAATCATAAATCTTGATGTTCTCCTTATAAATTGAACCAGAATATAAAAAAGTTATAGCTAAATGGTAAGATAATTTCCAGATTCTCTATGAAAAGGAAAACAAAGAATTTCATGTAGTTGGTTTCATTGCACATACCAAGGCAACAAGAAGCATCATTTCATGGGACATTAGGTCTCTCATTTTGTAGTATTGACAGTGTCCTTAAGCAAAAACAATGCCATTAGGCAGTAGCTCATGCACCAATGTTTCTTTTAGAGGATGAAGAGGAAGACAAATTTTATGTAGGCCTTGTCAAGATCAACTAAGCCGAGACTACTTATACTTCAATACTTGGTGAATACTTGGTTTTTTCCAGAACATCCGTTTTAAGGAAAGTGCCTAGGCAGCCATGTTTTCATTCCTCTTTATTCCTGAAGCTTTGCTCTTTTTCTGCCATACCACAGCATTTTTATCATCCTGGAAAATGGCTCTGTTCTTGTGGCCTCCTCACCTGGAAGTTTTGTGAGACTCCTTCTTCTTATTGTTCCATTCCTCTCAGAACATCCATTTTAAGGAAAGTGCCTAAGCCAGCCACGTCTTCATTACTCACTGGACTCCACTCCTAACTCTCTAGACTTCATCCACCATGCCCCTACTTGGATACCTGTGCCTTCTTTCTCCCTTTTCTCCAACACCTCAGCTTTTCAGTTTTTTTTGAGGTTGAAATGGTAGCCAATCCCAGTGAAAATGAATATTTCTTAATGGACAGAAAACAACTGGTTACTGATGCTGGAGTCCTGTTAGAATCACTGATTGAATGCAGACAGAGCATTGATGGGTTAAAGGAAAGGTCAAACCAGACATCCAATTAAGAAGAAAAAACTGGCTAAAGATGAGAAGGCAATACTAAATCGTAACAACTTTAATCTATCCAGTTCCGATGAATGGTTAAGCTAAAAAATAGGAAATACAAAAAAGCAAATTTGAGTGAAAAACTCTCATCAAAAAAGGTGACCGCAAGAGCCTGGAAAGTGTTTTTGCCAGCAGACATTCAGTCATGCAATTCAGTGAAGATAAAGAGAATAAATAGATAATTGTCATACTCTCCTCCCCCAAAAAAACTTTTAACTTTTTAGACTGGGGTTGCTTAACCTTGGGGCTATGCATTTTTCATATTTGTTGTTGACTTGTGCCCAACTCTTCCTCACTGCATGAACAATAGCACACCTGTTTCTTCTATCCTCCATTGTCTTTCAATGTCTGTCCAAGTTCATGTTTGTTGTTTCCATGACCCTTTCCATCCATCTCATCCTGTGCCATCCTCTTTTCCTTTTGCCTTCAATCTTTCCCAACATCAAGGTCTAGCTTCAGCTTCAGTATTTGACCTTCCAGTGAGTAGCCTGAGTTAATTTTTTTAATATAAATTTATTTATTTTTAGTTTTCAATATTCACTTCCACAAGTTTTTGAGTTCCAAATTTCTCCCCTCTCCTCCCACCCCAAGATGGCATGCATTCTGAATACCCCTTCCCCTGGTCTGCCTTCTCTTCTATCTCTCCCCCCTCCCTTCTCTTATCCACTTCCCCTTCTATCTTCCTGTAGAGCAGGATAGACTTCTGTACCCCATTTCCTGTATTTCTTATTTCCCAGTTGCATGTGAAAACATTTTTTTTAAAACATGTGTTTTTAAAATTTTGAGTTCCAAATTTTCTCCCTTCCTCCCTCCCCACCCACCCTCATTGAAAAGGCAAGCAACTCAATATAGGTTGTACATGTGCAGTTATGCAAAACACTTCCTTAGTAGACATGTTGTGAAAAACTAACTCTATTTCCCTTAATCCTATCCTGCCCTCCCATTTATTCTATTCTTTCTTTTGACCCTGTCCCTCCTCAGAAGTATTTACTTCTGATTACCCCTTTCCCAATCTGCCCTCCTCTCTATCCCCCTGCTCTCTTGTCCCCTTCTCCCCCTATTTTCCTGTAGGGTAAGACAGATTTCCATACCCAATTGAATGTGTATGTTATTCTCTCCTTAAGCCAAATCCTATGAGAATAAGATTCCCTCATTCCCTCTCACCTTCCCCTGTTTCCCCTCCACTGTGACTTTTCTTTTCTGTTTTTTTTTGTGTGTGTGTGTGAGATAATTTACCCCATTCTACCTCTCCCTTTCTTCTCCGAGTATCATCCTCTCTCATCCCTTAGTTTTATTCTCCAGATATGACCCTTAATCTTCAACTCACCCTGTGCCCTCTATCTATCTATATATACATACATATAATTTTTTTCCTTCAACTACCCTAATACTGACAAAGTTCTTATGAGTTACAAATATCATCTTTCCATGCAGGAATGTAAACAGTTCAATCTTAATAAGTCTCTTATGATTTCTCTTTCCTGTTTACCTCTTCATGTTCCACTGCAGTCCTGTATTTGAAAGTCAAATTTTCTGTTTAGCTCTTTTCATCAGGAATGCTTGAAAGTCCTCTATTTCACTGAATGACCATTTTTTCCCCTGAAGGATTATACTCAGTTTTGCTGGGTAGGTGATTCTTGGTTGTAATCCTATCTCCTTTGCCCTCTGGAATATTATATTCCATGCCCTGCGGTCCTTTAA